ATGTATTTAGTTAAAATTAAAATATTAAAGTATATATTATACATTTAATATAAATATAAAAATCTAATAATTTATTATTTATTTTGATTAAAAATCAAATTTCTTCCAATGTCTCACCATGTGTTTATTAGCGACTGTGAGTGCACAAAACATTGTGGTGTCTGTTGATGCGGACCTGTAAAATTCCCAAAATGACAAGAGATTTTTTTATTTATTACAATCTATTCTATCTGTTCAAGAAAAAATTATTATCGGATACCTTGTATATATATTTGAAATTTTCATAATTAGCCTATTTTATGACAAACCATATATTATAAGAGTAGTAGAAGCAATGCGCATTACTTATTGTAATAGCTGATAGTTTCAAAGACATTTATGATTCTGTCTGTATTATATTCATAAACTATTACTGAAAGTTATTAATTTACGTACTTGTTAATCGAGAAACGAAAAAATACATTTGTTTTGCGCTCAATTTATGTTAACGAAATAGTAGCGCTATAGAAAATAACTCAAAAAGAACACTTGTAAAATATTTCAAGTCGACTAAGTTTTAAATACACAAAGTTTTAACGTACACTTTTTATATTATTTAAATTTTTATATTTTATACTTTTGTAATGTAATATAGTAGAAAGTTAGTTTTGGGCAACATACGTTTAAAATACAATCTTGTACATTATAATTATTGCTGTTTTTTTTGCTGATTATGTAACCAAGTTTTAATTTGCGGTGAAGAACGTCGAACAAGAGAATTATATTTTTTCTTTACTTCCTGTATTTCTTTTAGAGACGGTAATGTACGATTCTGTATGTGTAGTGCAAACGCTTGAAGTACTGCTTGCTTCTCGTTTTCAGTCCATCTAACCCTTTTTGTTTTTCCATACGGAGATGCTAGAAAAGAACGTAAAATATTACATATAAAATAATATGTATGAACATAATACACAATTCGTACTAATATTTAAATTTATATTTTTATGTACTTTTTATTTTATATTTACATTGTCATATATATTTATCGCGATAGATTATTGAAAACAATTATGCTTTGATATATTAATTTCTTTTCAATCCTAAATCGCGCACACTATCTATACTTAATAATTGTAAGTGTTTAACATAGGGAAAAGAAGAGAATACACTTGTAATAGCGGGATTCTTACATAGACTAAAAGTAGATTAAAAAAGTACTTACTACTACGTTTCCGTTTTTTAGTTTGTTTATCTGTTTGCTTATGACATGTTATAGAATCAATTGAAGTATTAGATTGTGCTACGTCTGCAACAAACAATATATGTATTATAAATTTTAGTACTTATAAAATTAAATTATTCTGTATAAATTCCATACAAACATCTATTATAATATAAAACAAATGAATAATAAAATTACTTATATGCATGTACATAATGTAATTAATATTAAATAGCATTACCAATTTCATCAGTAGTATTAAGAATATCCTGGTTTAAAGTATTTTCTTTTTCTAGAATCGCTATTCGATTCATTCTCTGATTCTTGTTCATTTCCTCCTTGTACTGCTTCTAGATATCGAGAAATTTTAAGTATATCTCTGCTTGCTTGTGGTTGCCTATAGTGCTCCTTATGTATTTTATCCGCATGACCCATAAACGTTGCGAGATCCGAAATTTCAGTATCATTCAGATTGAACTGAATACAATGTGTTGCTATGTGTTTTCTTAATGTTGTACCACGCAAAGTGGTTGACTCACTTGCGTTACATGCACGTGCAAATTTCCGCATTAAAACACATGCTCTCAGATATCGATATCTTTTTTATCGAAACCAGGTAATCCAAAAATAAAAGGATTTTTTTTGGTACATTTGCTTCTGTACGAAATTTCAAAATTAATGAAATACAGTCAAACATTTCGTTTGACAATAAAACGGGTACTGTTCGTCCCAACTTTCCTCTAATACAAAATCGCACATATTTTTCGGCAATTTTTCTATCTTCGACTGATAAGGATTTATAAATATCACCAAACATATTTTTATTAACTTTAACATGATGTTTAAAATCTTCTATCTCTGCTCGTTCCATTTCTCCTGCTCGACGTCTATTAAAGACATGTATTGAAGTTAATGTGACCTCAGCCAAGGCAAGCCATTTTTCATATGTAAAGATCCTTTAATGCTGCATATGCTGCAGTTCTTTGCTTCGCCAAATGTATGTACAACTTTTTAATATCATTCAATGATGGTAGATTAATCTTTTTATGCCTTTTATGAGCAGACTGCGTCTCTTTTACTGTTTTAGTGACACTTGTTCCAATATCTACGACAAGCAATTTTATAAAATCTTTGACTAATTTTTCTTATTTTATCTTCTTTTTGATGCATTCCAAAATTAGAATATTTCCTACGTATTTAAGAAGAGTTGACAAAGTAGATGCTACTGCTGGAGTTCTATATAGTTGTGTGCCGTTATCATATCCTGCAATAATATTTATTGCAGAAATACAGTCATCATATAATCGAGGATGGTACAATGACTGAAAATCTTGTATATTTGTATTTATATCTTTTAATGCTAGGAGAAACCGACCGAGAAGACGTAACCTTGCACGAATCATATCATGTTGATGTTGTGCCTTGTATTTTATACACATTTTATTCGCATATATAATCAATAATTCGTCGTATCTCACAATACGTGTTATCTCATCTTCTCGCATAACAGGGAAAACAGTTTTTGTTAAAGCATCATTTGCCAATGGATGAAGTCTTCCGGTAACTTTTCTCTCCATAATCATAATATTTCTATTTCTTTGGAAATTTTTGTTAAAACAAACTCGAGAATGGTGTCTTATTGTGCTTTTCGCAAAAAATCTTTTACATTTGGCACAGGCTATAAAATCAGTAGCATTTTTCTTACATTTTTTATTTGGACGTCTGCTTACAATTAATTGTCCAGTATTAAGTTCGGCTTGTGTGTTAAACTTAAAGTTTCCATTTTTTCGTATAGCTTCTATCATTTTCAATCTTTCTGGGTGTTTAGCAGGTAACACAACAAATTTTTTTACTTCTGCTTTGTTACGATGAACTGTTACTAAATGTCTTGCAAGTTGAGATTGCAACTTTTTGCAAAAAAGACAATAATTTTTTTTAGTTGATTTTGTATTAGAAGTTTCAACGTACATGATCTCGTCGTTACATATTGTTGTGCCAACAGTATTCGCGTTTGAAGTGTCCAAACTTGAAACTGAAGTTGTAGTCTTGTTCATATTTTTCACGTGTTGTATAGATTCATCATGTATGTGTGAAGAAGAACTGTGCTCCGTAGGTACATATTCCGAATCCCCATCAGTATCATTAGCAATTGGAGAAGAATGAAGACCATGAAATAATGGAACATCAATGGTTTGTGAATCATCTTGTTGATCAATAGAAAGTATATTTCCTTCATCTGGTGATACTTCTTCTATGTATAGAATAAATTTTATGACATTTTATAATATTCAAATTGACAAATATCTCCTATTAATATTATAAATAAAATTAGAGAAATATCAAAAAAGCAAGAGTCGGTTATTTCCAACAAAAAGACAAAACTTTAAAAATATTTTGCTAATAGAATATACAAGTACTCGAGAATGAAATAGTCAATTTTACGTCTCTTAAAATAGATTCTAACGTCTTTTGAAATAGACTGTGTAAAAAAGTACTATTAAAATAACACATTATTTTGATACTACTATAATGTTATTAAAAATATCATTGTTGACTCCGCTAATCGACTTTTCTCTTTTGACACATTTTCAATATGTTCATTCTTAATATCAACATACCAGACATGCTATACGTCAATCGTTTAACACATTTCTCCACATCACTAAACTCACATCCACCATATATTTTAGCTATAACAATACAAAAAAATATACACACCAGAAACTTTTAAAGCAAAAGTAAGTTGTTTTATTTCTGAGAGTTGATCGTATATTTTCGAGTAAAAGTATATATAATAGACTACCTTTATTCATAAAATACTATTTATTTTCCCAGCATGCAAAAAATGCAAAAAAGTGCAAAAAAAAAATATTTTATATATACAAGGTATCCGATAATAACTTTTTCTTGAACAGATAGAATGGATTGAAATACATGAAAAAATCTTTTGTAATTTTGGGAATTTTACAGGTCCGCATCAACAGACAGCACAATGTTTTGTGCACTCACAGTCGCTAAACACATGATGAGACATTGGAAGAAATTTGATTTTTAATCAAAATAAATAATAAATAATTAGATTTTTATATTTATATT